CCTGGCTCCCACGTGGTCGACTCTGTGGTTTGAGTGCTGGACCCAGTGGCTTGAAAAACACATGAGACGTGCTCCAAATCCGGAGAGAATGGAGGAGGAGGGATTGTCGTGTGGCCACCCCACCTGGAGGGTGCTTTCTCACTCTCTCTCTGTCTTTCTATTTGTTTTTGGAAAGTGTACATACCCTACAGCAAAACTTAAAAAGAAAAAAAAGACAGATTGGCTCCTGTTGCAGTTACAGCTTTTAGAGATCAGCTGCTTTCAGGGCCAAACCAAGGAAAGGGCTTGGCTGTGCTTCATCCCTGGGGAGGTGGTGGGGTGTCGTCTGGCTCCTTCGTGGGTCCTGTAAACAGGAGGCTTCCACTTACTTGGCATGTCTGCCTTTTCCCTCATCCCCGGGGTGGTGGGGGGTGTCATCTGGCTCCTTCGTGGGTCCTGTAAACAGGACGCTTCCACTTACTTGGCATGTCTGCCTTTTCCTTCCCTTCCTCCTCTAGTTTCTTCATTCTTGTCCTTCCATGTAGTCAGGTCAGTGAAGTCGGTTACCTTCCAGCAGGGGACCCCATTCTCCCAGGACGGGGTGCAGAGGCACCCTGGAGACCAGCAGGTTAGGAACAGTCTGCTGGTAACACTGCCTTTCAGCAGTCCCTCCACACTGACGAATGAATTCCCAGTTAGCTTTGCACCCTCAGGACAGTGGAAACAAAGAACTATTCCATGGAAGACCACCTACTTAGGGCCTCTCAGTCTCTCCGACTGCATCCTGGATGTAAGGGCTGCAGCTAGCACAAGAAGAGCGACTGTTCCATCCCCAACTTTGCATTTTGCAGGGTCTTGCTCTTCAGCCCCCTACAAGGCAAGTGGAATTTCATCGGAGTAATCAAATTCATCAGTAAGAATGTCCTCCCATCAAAGCCACGCTCGTTCTGTAAGTACATCTCAAACAGGGGAGTGCATCTAATTAGAATGCTAATAATACTGCCCAACTCGCATCCCCCCCATTGCACCGTATTACTCCAGCCAATCTTACTCTTTGGCAAATGGCCGATTTAAACCCGCTTCCATAGGAAAGGCCTGCGAAGATCAGCTCTTCGCTCTGGAGTTTCAGTTTTGACATCAATCGCACTTCAGTGGAACATCCTTTACCAGTGGTTTGGTTTTGTTTTCCCTGTAGCCTGCAGCAGCTGCATTAAATCCACTTGGAGAAGAAACACCCATCCTGGTTTTGAGTAAAGAAAAAGGAAAATGACTAAATAAAACAAGAACTATTTGAAGAGATACATGAAGCTAGAAAATAGAACTGGAGGGGCCCAGTTATCTGTTCATTATTGTGTGGCGCTCAGTGGGTCGTGGTATGTATCTTGTACCAGAAAAAAAAAATCCATCTAACAAATAGTTTAAAATAAAAACCCAGAAACCACACGTTTTCCCTTCATCTTAATGAGGGTCCAATTCACAATAGTATTTTTGTATCAGAGTTTCTGACCTTTGTGTGTGCGTGTGAGATTTTTTTTTTTGTTTTTAATCTGGTAGAACTGTTAGCTGAAACATTGTAGCCTTGAAATAGCAGAAAATTACAGAGAAAAAAGAATTCTACTTCTTTTAGGAACAAAGTGTCTGACAATCAATGATGTAATAGGAAGAGCATGGCTGAAAAAAAGTATCCTTTTCAATATGTATCTAAGCACTAATTTCAATTTAAGGATGTAACTGGTATTCAGAACACTGAACAAACAGCGATCTAATTTTTTTTTTTTTATCATTGTCAGAAAGCATGTGCTTGGCAGAAAGAGACAGAGAGACAAAGGCAGAGAGAGAGAGGGAGGGAGAAAGCGCCCCCTATGGAGCATGGTCACGCCATAATTCCTTCTCTACTCACAATCCCTTCTCTAATTCTCCATCCTGATGGGATTTGGGGGCACACACACACACACACACACACACACACACACACTCCTGGTGTGTTTCTCAAACTTCCAGGCCTGGGACTCAAACTATGGTCGGCCATGCGGGATCTGGCTCCCTTAACCACTAAATCACAGGAACAGTCACAACATTCCAACTCGGATTGACCTAAATAGTGACCCTGAAAGCACTATTTGTTGAATGATGACTGTACACACACAGTGACATTTCCAGAAATGTGTCATTTCCTAACTTCCTCTCCAACTTCCTCCTGGGATCTGATCAACCAAAGTTTTGAATGAGGCCACCAAGACCGCTCAGAATGTGAGAAGGGGCATCTGGCTCTTTTTAAGGGCAATTTCCAGCCTGCTTCAAACTACAACGCTCTTTTTCTACCACGCCTGGAGTTACAGACTTCAAACGGTATCTGTTTATTTCCTAGCGTGGAGACCAGCCTGTAACACCCTCCCACCCCACTCCCAGTGCTTTACTTTTTCCATCTCCCAGCACTTTAAATCACAACCTTGGTTGAATCAATATTGTGCTTTTATGTCATTACGACTCCATAAATATTACTCACCGCCATGCCAGATATAAAATACGATGCTTCTTTTCAAACTCTTACCTGACTTTTTGCTTCCCTTATATTTCGTTAAATTTCATCTGTTTCAGGGCCAGCAGGTGGCATGGCGGTTAAGGCTCTGGATGCCCACATGGCCAACCATGGTTCAAGTCCCAGGCCCAGTAGCTTGAACACCTTGCTGGGTGCATGCCCCAAATCCCAAGAGGAGAATGGAGGAGAAGGGATTGCAGCATGGCCATCCCCTCTGGGGGTGATTTCTCACTTTCCCTCTCTCTGTCTCTCTGGTGGGTGTGTGCCCTATGGCAGAAACCTAAAGAAAAAAGATCTGCTTCTCTGACTTTGAATACCAGAGACAAACTGGTGATTCCCGTGTTCCTCTGTCTAGCCCAGACTTCTACCTTGAACTGCAGACCTGTGAGTTCAATCACCTTCTCAGCATCTCCCTGGGCTCTCCAATGCGCTCCCGAGCTCGATCTGCCTAAAACACAGCTCCTGACCCTCCCTGCTCTCCTTCCGCACCCGTCGCCTGCAGTCGTCCCTATCCTGGTTACCAGCCACGCCATGTAGCCAACTGCTCGGAGTCCATGCAGCCGACTGCTCAGAGTCCGTGCAGCCGACTGCAGAGGCTTTGGCGCCCCTGTACACCTTTTCCTCTCCCACTCCACACCCTACCTTGGCAAATCTCTATGCAAAATACACTCACCACCTGCCTCGCCGCGCCTCTCACTGCTGCCACCTTCGCCCACGCCACCATCGGTTCCCGCTGAGGTTCTCCAGTGGCCCTGTGTATTAGGGTCCTTGGTCTCCCTCCGCTGTTCCCTGACAGCCTCTTCCAGCACAGCAGCTGGAGCCAATGGTTCGAAAGAGAACTGGAGCCTGCTGCTCCTCCTTCCAGAATGAGGGGCTCGCCCTGCGCCTGCTCCAGTACAACCTCATCTCAACTAATGGCAGCAGCCAACGCTACTTCCAAGTAAGGCCACAGTCCAAGGTGCCAGGGGTAGGATTCCAACAGAAGACTTCCGGGGGGGGGGGCACAATTCCACCCATAATATATGGAGACACCAGCATTTCTTTATTTCCCCTCTGGGAGGTGAAAGAAGGGGGTGCACCCCTAACAGGGGCCCTATGTGTGATCCATTCCCAGCCCCAGCCAGCCCCGACCACGGGCACATGTGCATGTGGCATGCGCAGGTGACCCCAGAATGTGAGCCTGGGACCCTCCACGTGACTCCAACGTCATGGAGGACCATGCCACTGCTGTGCAGCTGCGGCTGGCCCTCAGTTGTCACGCGTGGTCCTCGGTATGTGACAATTTTTCTCTTGCAAGGTTTTAGGATTTTTTCCTTTATATTCTGAAATGTCATGGGAATATGCACTGGTGGGTCCATTTAATTGTTATGGACCCTAGATGAGCCCATCTGAGAACACTTGCTATTTGGTTTGGATAAAATGTCTTTTATTTTCATCAGTTTTTCCCCACTCCCCCTGCCCCTTTTTCTCCGCGTTCCCTCTGGTGGGACTCCAATCAGCTGAATGTTAGAATGCGAAGATTATGATTCTACATTTCATATCCTTTACTTCCTGTTGACCACCTTTGTGATTATTTTCTTTCTTTTAATTTGTTACAGGGTGCTGGGAACAGAGAGAGAAAATGAGACCACATGAGGGATGACCGTGGTGCAGTTCTTTCTCCTCTAGGGATTTTAGGGATGCACGCGCATGCGTCCGACGTGTTTTTCAAGCCGTCAGGCCTGGTACTCAAACTCGCAGTTGGCCTTGTGGAATCCAGCCGCCTTCACCATCGGGGCATCTGGCTGGCCCTCTATTTTTTAAATATTTATTCGACTTTATTTTCAAAACTTTCTCCTGAATATCATATTGCCAACATCATGTTTCTTATTTCTTAAAAAAAGTTTTTTTTTTTGCGCTTGCGAGAGAGAGAGAGAGAGAGAGAGAGAGAGAGAGACAGAGAGACAGAGAGAGACAGAGAAAGAGGTGAGGAACCATCCCCCACAGAAATCAGTCATGCCACAACCCTCTCCCCTCCACTTCTCCCCGCCTTTGGGACTTGGGGCACACATGCACATGCACCTGGAGGGTCTCTCAAGCTGATGGGTCTGTGTCTTGAACTCCAGTCGGTCATGTGAGGTCCAGCTTAACCGTCATGCCACCCACTGGCCCATCGCATTTCACTTCTAGAAGCGCTTACTTTCTAATTGTTCCATTTTCTGGGATCCTGTTCTGATTTCATGAGAATAAGGTCTCCTGTTATTTCCTCGAGGATATGAATGATAAGATTTTAGAATTTTTCTTTTTGCTTCCTATATTGCCTTTATTTTATCAAAGTTCCTGCTTTGGCTTCTTTATTTTATTTTATTTTATTTTTTTTTGAGAGCTTTTTGCTATAGGGCACGTGTGCTTGCCAGACAGACAGAGAGAGACAGAGAGACAGAAAGCAAGAAATCACCCCCCAGGGGAGATAGCCATGTCACAATCCCTTCTCCTCCATTCTCCTCTTGGGATCCTGGGCACGCACGCACACGCGCCCGGCGTGAGTTTAAGCCACCGGGTCCGGGACACGAACCGCGGTCGACTACGTGGGAGTCCAGCGACATAGCCATTACGCTAACTGCTGGTTCCCTGGTCTCTCTTCTATTGAGGATTCTCCCTTATGTCTAGAGATTTCTACTGACCCATGAATATTTAAGAATGGAATTATTGTAAAAGCTTGTTTGGGGGACGAGCAGGTGGTGTGATGGTTAAGGTGCTGGATTCCCATGTGGCCAGCCATAGTTCGAATCCTGGACCTGGTAACTTGAAAGGACACGTGCATGTCTAAAATCCAGCGAGGAGAATGGAGGAGAAGGGATCGTGGCATGGCCATCCCCTCGGGAGGTGCTCTCTCACTTTTCCTCTGTCTCTACAGCGAGCACACGTGCCCTATGACAAAAACCTAAATAAAAAATAAATAAATGAAAGGTTGATTGGAATTTATGCAGATGGATTCAACTCATTGACTTTACTATAGAATAAAAGAGGTGGGACCTAGCTCTTTTGGGGGACTCCCAGTTTCAGCATCTTGTAGGGCTTTTTCTTTTAATTGCTGAAGGGCACATGCACTCACCAAAGAGAGATGAAGCGACAGAGAGAGACAGAGGGAGAAAGCACCCCTCAGAGGGGCATGGGTCACACTCCAGCCTCCATGCAGCAGGATTTTGGACCCGCCTGCACCTCATGCTTCTGGCATGCTCCTCAAGCTGCTCTGGTTGGGACTTGAACCACGGCTGGCCATGTGGGATCTGGCTCCCCTAACCACGAGGCTGCAAGGCCAGGCCTCTAGTAGGGCTTTTATCTTGGTCCTTTCAGTTTGTCCGGAGAGGAAGTCTCGAGTCCTGCTTGGAGGCGTGTGTTCCGCTGGCAGACAAGCAGGAGAGCGGAACTGAAGGCCTTGGCATTTGGGTTGTAGGTGTTCTTCCTTCCTTTCTCTCTCGCTCTCTTTCTTCTTTTTTAAGAGAGACTTTTGCTATAGGGTGCATGCTCTCGCCAGAGAGACAGAAAAAGACAGAGAGACAGAAAGCGAGAAATCACCCCCCAGAGGGGGAAGGCCATACCACAGTCCCTCCTCCTCCATTCTCCTCTTGGGATTTTGGGCATGCATGCACACGCGCCTGGCATGAGTTTTAAGCCACTGGGTCTGGGACTCGAACCGTGGTCGACTATGGGAGAGGCCAGTGATGTAACCATGATGCCATCTGCTGGTCGCAGGATGTAGGTTTTCAGATGATGACAGTGTGCAATGCCTGGTATCTCTGAGTCAGGGTCTCTCTGGATCTGTTTCCTTAATAAACCCGCACTTGTCTTCAGGGTGGGAAAGTGGGGCCCCTGCCTAGTGGGGATGAAGACCTGGTGGGGCTAGCCCCCGTTACACAGAGGGGAATTCAAAAAGTTCACAGAAAATGCATATTACGGAAAAACTGGCCGTGGATTTCAAAGTATTTTTGCACCAAGATAACTCGTATTTTCATTGCATTTTTCCATGGACTTTTGAAGTCCTGCCATCTAAGCCTGCTGCCATCCTCTTTGCAGGCTTGGCCTGAGCCTCCGCCCTGAGTCTCCCGCTGCCTCTCGTTCCTAGGACTTCCTGGGATGCCACGAGTCAGCTCTTTTGCTCGGCCTCGGCCTTCCTTGTGCCTTTACTGAGGCTTCGACTCCTCTTGTTTCCCGGCCGTGCATAACCACGACCCGTTTCCAATTCTTGGTTTTCTCTCAGCGCTGCTTCCTCCTTCCGCATTCTCTGCTCATTTCAGTGCGGTGCTGGGGAGTAGCCGCACATGACCACGACATGCCCGTGCTGAGCCCTCCCTTTCAGGCCGGGTGCTTCCATCTGCCTCTCCCATCTCCGTCTCACCGTCCCCACTCCTGTCTCCCCTCCCTGCCTTGAAGGTTGAGTACATGAACATTGGCATCTGGTTGGGCTTGGCCAGAGAGAGGCCTTAGAGGGAGACCAGCTGGTGGGAAAAGAGTGGGGTCCTTCAAGTCCCCTGCTTCTTCCCTGCTGGTTGCATCGGGCGGTGGTGTCCCCTGGCTCCTGCTGGCCAGCTTTTCTCCAGATGCTCCTCTTTTCTCCAGATGCTCCTCGGGGCTAGGGCAGTAACAGCTCCTTTCTGTTGTTAACCTCAGGGGACTGCATAGCCCTGCATCAGTTTCTCTGAGCCCTTCCCACATCTTTGCAAGCCATTTGCTCATCAAAGTCTTCCCCATGATCTCATTTGCTTGGGCCATCTGTTTTTAGGGGACATTCCACCAATAAGCTTCCCCTACCCCCTCCGACTAGAGAGAGCCTCCTCTTCATTCCATCTTCCTTCAAATCTCACTCCTGTTCAAGAGCTCTCCTTAGCACCTGAGGTGTGACCGACCTCGTGTCCTGCAGGGCACTTTCTGGCCCAGGCAGGTGTTCACTGTTTCCACCAGACTATGGTGGGGACCAGTCTTTTTCTCCACTTCCTATTGCCAGGTCTTAGCAGATTGTCTGGGGGAACTTAGTACTTATGGTCTCAACGAGTCAGATAGTGGGAAACTGGAAAGACCCTTCTTCTAGGAAGCCTTCCAGGATCTCAGACAGAAAAACGGCCTCCCTTTCTCTCAATATCCACAGCAATGGCCTTTTATATTTGCCACTTTTTACTCTGTTCCACGGTGGCGGGTGGCTGTGCCCGCTGACCCTCCCTATGTCAGCTTGCCTCTAGATGAGCGAGATCACATCCATTTTGAATCGTTTTCCTCACACGGTGACTGGCACGTAGTAGGTGCACACAAATCACTGAGAGATATAACGTGATCGGCTGAGTTTGGAAACAGATCTTGTTTATCTGTGTCTCAAGACCAGATGCTCCGACTGGCTTATTTAATTGCCATTTTCTTTGTGAGTTCATTATTGTCTTGTCTCGGTGTTGTTTTTCCAAAGGTCTGTTTCTCCCTGGGCCTGCAGAGATCGCTTTGAACCAGGCTGATCAAATGCCGGGCAGCTGTGTGAGCAGAGAACTCCTGGCTCAGGGGAGAGGGAAGCCGGAGCCAGGCAAAGCTGCAGCCCTGGAAACCAGAAAAACTCCAAGAATGCAACAGTAACAAAGCCACCCTAGCAAGGACACCAGTCAGAGAGACCAGCTTCAGAGGGGCGAGTGGAGCTGCCGCCCCAGGACTGGAGTTCTCGGGGGAGGCCCATGGGCTGGGAGAGAACAGCTTAGTACTGCAACCTGGGCCAGGACGTGTCTAGCCCTGCTGTCCCCAGGTCCTCACTTTCTCACCACTCCCTGCCCTTGCCACGCAACTGTCCCCAAATCCAGCTAATTTCTTTGTCCAGAGGCTTTCGGGTGGCAAAAGTGGGCGCTTTGAGGTCGTGTGGGTCTGATGATCTCCTGTCTTGGGCCTGCTGCTTCTAGTTATGTGACGTTGGCCTTAATCTCGCGGTCC